GGGGCATTTTCCATTTAAAACGTATGAAAGATATTTTATTTCTCCGTCAATTGAGTGACGAGAGAGAGAGAGAGAGAGAGAAGAGAGAGAGAGAGAGAGAGAGGATCAGACCATTCATTTAATATTTGTTATACTTCATTTTAAAGAAAGTATTTCTTAAACTTTACAGCAGTTCCTCTGACCGGAGGTTCCTAGGTTCGAGTCCCGACGGTGGCAGGATTTTCGACACTAGCTAAGACTAATTCAGTAGCTGTCTGGAGGAGAATTCCTTAACCCGGCTGAACGGTGCCACACTGGTGGGAGATACCTGGCTGGAAAATACCGCTAGCCGACGATAGGTCGGCGCCGGATCTCGCCATAAAGCGGGAGATAGATCGCCGCCACCTCCCAAGCAAAAATATGCACTACACTTACGGGACTAACGACACTGGTAGTTGACGTGCCCAGAATCACTAAAGCAATCAATCGTTCAATTTCCTTAAATTTATAATGGGAAGAGGGATATTGTAGGAGGGAATACAATTTGACGACTACTTGCAAGAAGACGCACTCGTAAGTTGGGCAATCACTTTGCCACGGGTGCTGACTTCGCAAACACAATTCAACTGACTTCGCTTTTCGAAAGCGTACAAGTAGTCCTTTACTTATCTTTGCTTATCCAAGGCAATTTTTCGCTATGCAACATGATACCAATATTCGGAGTTTAAGTCCAGCGCGTGGGGAATGTCAAAGATACACCAGACCAAATTAACCTAGAATATCTGGTGCCTATAGAGACATCATGGTAAAGAAAGCAACAGTTAAATTTCTTAACCTTTAGAGGAGGGCGGTTTAAGATGCTTGTGTTCTCTAAATGAAAACAGATAAAATGTTTTGACTGCTTCTAACTTCATTATAAATGTACTTTCTATATAGTTCATATTTCCTCCAGAAATATAGTGATAAGATTGACACAAGTGTACTAAAACACATGAGACACTAATCTAATTTTACAGAAGAGCTCTTCAAAGATGTTTTTGTTCTCTGAAAGAAAAAGGGAATGCTCTTGTTTTGATTACTTCAAACATCTTGCTAAAACTGCATTTCTTACAGTTCTCCATACCTTAATAAAGAGCAATGAAAATATTCCATTTTATCCAAAAAAATGTAATCATTCCCTTTACCGTCAGTGAATAGACATTTTGTAAGAAGTTGAAGAAATTAAATATTAATTAAAAAGTTAAATTACAAGCTTTTGATTTAAGGCATTTGTTTTAACACGTTTTATTTATCGATGCGATTCACATTTAATGATTTAAATAATTTAGACCTCAAGTAGAGGTATAGTAGCATTCTACCTCCGAGCCTTGCACACCGGTGATGAAAATACAAATTCGTCCGAGCCTTGCACACCGGTGATGAAAATACAAATTCGTCCATCTCAGATATGAAGCACCACCTAAGGCAGGCCTGTCTACGGTTCTCACTTTTTGCCAGGGCTCGTAGCTTGCGAGCGATGTACATATTAATTAATTAATAATGAGAATGTGTATTCAAACAATATGAATTTCATCAACGAACGATATAATTATAAATAATCTATTTTTCTAGGTAAAAATAATTAGAATACATTAGTATTACTCTACACCTTATTACAATCTAATTTATTTGCGTAAGTAAATTAAAACGTGGTTTCCATTTCTTGGCGGCTGCTTCAAGAACATGATTGGTTTTCAGTGAATCACCAGGCATGTTCTGTGTCTGTTTTCATTCAGGTTCTTAAATTAGTGTTAGTTTAGAACGCCGCCATGGATATCCGAGGTCACTAAAGCTGCAGTGCCATGGCTGCCTTGGATTTAAAGGGTGGCGTGTTCATAGCCCGCCCCTGGCATTGATGTCAGTGTGTATCCGTATGCGAGTTCCGCTACCGTTAACCCAAAGTCATAAAAACAATGTTAAATGACAGTGGTCGTTAAACGAACATAGTAGTTGAAAAGCGACCTTAAATAAGTAAAATAAAAGATTGTAATACAAATAGATTGTAATACAAATAAATTGTAATACAAATAGATTGTAATACGAATAGATTGTAATACAAATAGATTGTAATACAAATAGATTGTAATACAAATACATTGTAATACAAATAGATTGTAATACAAATAGATTGTAATACAAATAGATTGTAATACAAATAGATTGCAATACAAATACATTGTAATACAAATAGATTGTAATACAAACAGATAGTACGAGTAATACAAATGTATGTAGAACCAAGTCACAGAGAAAGAGTAACAATAACGCAGTACTTACGGGAGAAGTGTCGCCTTCAGTTTTTTCGTCCGCCGGCGCCTTCATGGAGCCTTCCCCAGAGGCACCGACCCTGCCCTTCGTAGTTTCCCTCGGGGACTTATAACTCCCGTATAACGTGGTGGAGACCATTACGGTGGCGCGCTCTTCTGCACCACCTTCTTCACAGGAACTAAAACACGAACTGCTGCCAACGGTACTTGAAACGTGCGTGGCTGCTGCGCGAGTTGGCGGGTTGGAAGCAGGCCCTTAATGTAAGAAAAGATGTTCGCGCTTTCTTCAGGGGTTACTTATATGTATATATTATGAATAATTAAACATTTAAAAGACACTTTTCCTATTTCTCACAAATTAGCCGATTTTTATGTGCGGAAGTTGGCGAGCCTAACCTACAGCTGAACCTGGCGACACTAGCGCCTCCTAGAGTATCACCCTCGAGAGTTGTTCCCTGTTTTGATGGGGAGTTGCAAGGTCCTGGTTCCCCTGCCCCTCTGGGCTCGCGGTCGCGTCCACAAGCTGTTGGCGAGCGCTGGCGCTTCTACATAGAGAGCGCTTTGGTCCACTGATTAGTTCCCCGGCGAGTCAACTTCCATGGTCGTAAGGGACTCCGAGAACACAATTGTATGGAGAACCAAGACACTGAGAAACAGTAACAATATTGCAGTGTTTACGGGCGCAGGCGGATGCAGACTTCGCCTTCTCGGGATCTGCTCTCAAAGACGCCGCCTCTTCGTTGCTCCCCTTCCCCTCTCCGGGCTCCGGAGCTCACCTGCGATCTGCCTGTGAGCGCTGACGGTTTAAAATAGTGTGATCGTTAGATCGACCACGGTGAAGAAGCCCCCCAAAAAAATTTTTAAGTAAAATCTCTTCTTTAAGACGGTAAGAAAATATTCGAACCTTTCCGGCCTAATTTTTCAATAAAAGAAGGTTGAATTAGTACGGGATCTTATGGAAAAATTTCGCGGGCATAGGTTTTTTAAAGCTATTGGAGAAGTTATACGATGAAAGTAGTTTTCTTTTATTCAGTACGTAGTAAATGTTTTCAGTAATCAGATGATATTAAATGTAACATACCTTACTAGACATTCTGAAGATTAATCATAACAAAACTTCTGCTTCGCAACCGGAAATTCATCAGAACGGAAGAACTTGCTCTGGGCTTAGAAGGTATGTTGTACAAATCATGCTATTGTCAGCACCATCCTAATTTAAAAAAGTTGTACAACACACTATTCGACGATAATTTACTTTTACTGTAAACAATGTGGAATGATATTCAAGGCAGAAAGAAAGAAAAGTACGGGTGCCCAAGTCAATCTAACCTAGGTATATTAGGTACTGAAAATGAAAAATCATGCGAAAGGCTACATTCATTAGTAAACATAATTTTTCTAGAGGAACTATTCTATACTTATCTTCTATTTTCAAATAATTATTTAAATGCTCAGTTCATGTTTACAAGCAGCTATTGTTAATCTATAGATATAATAGTAGATGATTTATGTAGTCAATAACAGAGTACTCGGGTATTCTTCATAACCAAACCTTGTGAATGATCATGGTCGAACAAACGTGTTTAACTTAATTTGTAATGTAATTGATTTAAATTGTAATGTAATACAATAATTTTCTTTCGTTTGATTTCATAGTACATTGCTACCAAAATCTGCTCGATGTTGGTCACGATCTCAATCAGTTTTCTTAAAAAGTATTTTTTTAAACTTTCACACTTTTTGTAAATTTAAAATTAAAACAATATCACAAATGAAAAAGAACAAAAATCATATTAATTTTTAGTTTTATTCAGTTTACGTACATGCTCAATGGAAAATCATGCGAGAGAAAACTACACTTTACACGGATGTTAAACAAAGCCACCCAGTAAGTTCATGGTTTTCGGGTATTTTATTTCATATTTATGAATTGAAACAATGTTTATTTCAAAAGACCAGGTAAAGAGAAAAACAATGTTAATATTAAGAAGATTAATTTTTAATAAAATACTATAACCTAAATATTCAATTTTACTAAAAATCTCTAATTTTCTTTTATTTGGTAAAAAAAATACATATCTATTAAAATCAATTTCATTTTTTCGAAAACTGGAACCAAACACACGTTCGAGCTTTCTACCTACGTCTCAGACGGCTGTAATCTTGCCGTTTGTTTCCTAATACATTAATCATCTGATAGTGAACAGTTTTATAGTTAAAAGCTTCTTTTTTTACGCTTTGTACTGCTGGAACAAGGCCTTCGGTGGCTCCTCGGTTAGCGAGCTCGCTTTCCACACTTCCCCAGCGCAACCCCGAATTCGATTTTCGGCCGGGCCAAAATAATAACTGTGCGCTTTCCTTACAAATGTCCCGCAATCTATTGCTTTGTGACAATAAGAAAGCTCACCCTAAGGTTATGCAGACCAGTATATATGGTGGAGGGATGTCTTCGTGCTAACCACAACAAACCCTTACCCCATGATTGAGAGGGGGTCACGCTGGTCGGCCGAGGCCTATAGCGGGCTATCGACCATAGGACAGGCCAGGACCCTAGGAATACCTGCTTAGGGCACCAGGGGTTAGGCCTTTTGGCATACGTTTCCCCACTTACAGGGCCCTCTGTGGTATAAAACATCTCCATGTACACAATGTTCCATAATTCCGTGCATTTCACCGCACCCCTTTGTTCGCCACCTGCGCAGAGCCGAAGTGAGCATGGGCCGCGGCCGCTGGCGAGCGCCGGCGCCCTGGTGTGGTGGTGCTGCTGTGGCTGCAGGTGCGCCGCGCTGCCTGGCGCCGCCCCCGCCCGCGCACCCGCCGCGCACCGCCCCCGCCCCCGCCGTCGGAGCCCGCGCTGCCGGCTGCTGACGCCTCTGGACCGCCGCCGCGCGCCGCGCCCACCATCACCGACGTCACCAACCCGCGCTGCTCGGGGTTCATCTGCAGCCTGGAGCTGTGCCTGCCATCGAGGACTGCGACGGCGAGTGTTGTACAACAACGCCAACGAGTTCGGCTGCTGCCCGCTCTGCATCAAGTACCTGGCGTGAAGGCTTCGCGAACGTCATTCATTGATTAATTCCTGTTAACGAGCGTGGAAATTAATATTGCCGTTAGCCCTGTAAATGATTGTGGTGCATGCTTTTATCGTGTGAGGTAGCGCGTCCCCTCCCCCACCCCCCAGTGGATAGCGCAAACTGGCGTCGACCTTCACGTGGGCTTCCAGGGTTTTCCCCATCCAGCTTGGGACGGTGCTCCGCTAGTGGGAGATGCCTGTTTGGAGAAAACATGCTAGCCGACTGTAGATCGGTGCCGCATCTCACCATCTATCAGGGGAAGTTCACCGTCATCTCCAGAGGGAAAACGCATGGACTACACTTACGGAACTAATGTCCTTAGCTGTTGACGTGTCCAGAATTACTAACCAATCAATTAACAATCCTCTCAACTCTATAAGTCAACTAGTTCTTCATTTATTTCACCGGGAGATATGGCTCAGGGCATCAACTGATGTCACTGCATTCCGTCTGACGGGGAACGTCCTGGGTTCGAGTTTCCACTGTGGCCGGGTTTTCAGCACTAGACAGATACCTAGGTCGAGTTCAGTCGCTGACTGGAGAAGAATTCTAGCGGCCGGCTGCTCTGATCGGTAGTTTTCCGTGGTTTCTCCGATAAACACCACGCGCATGCCGGAGCAGTACCCTAACAAACGGGCCACGTACCGCGCGAGATCTTTCCTACCTCCTCCTTTACCTATACTCATTCCGTACACTACTTACACTAACATGCTCTACACTACTACACATGGTGGGAGACCGATCGGGAGCTTAGAGCTTGTCCCGGCTAGGACGGTGACCCACTAGAGGGAGATACCTGGTTGGGGAAACCCCCGCTTGCCGATGGTAGGTCGGCGCCGGATCTCGCCATACAGCGGAAGAAGACCACCACATCCCCTCAAAGCAAAATCATGCCCTACACTTACGGGACTAATGACCTGAGTAGTTGACGTGCCCGGAATGACTAACAGTCAATCAACAAATTCATTAATTTCTAGTCGGAATGCCGATACTAAAAGGGGTCGGCAAGAGAGGAGGCCAGCCACCTCCTGTGCCAAGAGAGTTACAAACAGCCTAACAGAACAGTCGTGACACTTGCACAGCGATACTAGCGCCCCAAGCAGTGAGCAAGAGGCCCTGCAAGAGGCAGATTTCGCTGTTAGTTTCACACTGTGATTATTATTAGTGATGGGAATGTTTATATAGAAGTTAGAATTAAATCGGGAGTATGGGGGAGTTGTTAATGATTTATCCGTTTATGACGACTCTGGCGCCCCTGAACTCTAAGCAATCCGCCTCAAGTCACGGATTAAGCGCGTCTTCACTGCATACAAGTATTCAGCCCCTGCGATTGTGAAATATCGGCTGGAATTATTAGTTGAATCTCAGACAAGTAAATCGAATTTCTCCAAGATGTCATAGCAAACGAATGCTCAAATTGTAGGGAGAACGTTTTAACAATAGGATACTTGACAACCATGTCCAAACCAGGATATGGAACAAACCCATACTCAGTATCACCCGATCAGGAGCTTCGTAACGAAATACATTGTCGGGATTGGAACTCCCCCTTGAATGGCTCTCTCTTGAACCCGTGACATTGAAGTGCTACTGTGTTTCAATCGAAGTATAGGCTCGAGCCGCCATCGCTGTTTAAAAAAATAACTTAAAAAATAGTGGTTTGTGAAGTGTTGTGCATGTCTGTGAGAGATTACAATACTAAATTAGGAATGAATGAGAGAGCGATTTTAAAATGAAACAAAATTCAAGAAAACAGAATATCTTTAGTTATGTTTGAAAACTATAACAAAACATTTTAATGTATAACAAAAGTGGCCTTGTAAATAGTAGTTATAATTTAATAATAAGTTAGTTTATTTAAGATCGGCCCTCCCATTACTGCAAAAGCCTCACCAACTGCAGTAATGTACTCCTAAACTATGAATAAATTCCCGCCTCTTCAGGGGTACTAACGAGGAAAAAACTTTAAAAAATATTAAAAAAGAAAAAATATAAAAAACAAAAAAGGTTAAAAAAGGAAAAAATAAAGTTTAAAAAATAAAAAATAGTGCAAAGAAATAAAAAATAAAGTTTAAAAATACAAAATTGAGTTTTAAAAAATAAAAATAGTTTAAAAATAAAGTTTTTAAAAATATAAAATAAAGTTTCAAAAAATAAAAATAGTTAAAAAAATAAAGTTTTTAAAAATATAAAATAAAGTTTTAAAAAATAAAAATAGTTTAAAAATAAAGTTTTTAAAAATATAAAATAAAGTTTCAAAAAAATAAAAATAGTTTAAAAAATAAAGATTTTTAAAATTTAAAATAAAGTTTTAAAAAATAAAAAAAGTTTTTTATAAAAACACGCTCTGTGCTGCAGACGCGGGCCGCGCGTGCGGGCGGCACGGCGTGCTGCGCTTCCCGGAGCGGCCCACCACCATGTGCCGGCCGCCGCTGCGCTGCGTGGACGGCTACTGCGCGGCCGAGGGCGCCGGGGAGGTGATCCGGCGCGGCCCCAAGCACGCCCGCCACCCGCAGGTGCTCGACGACTCCCGGCACTAGCGCCGCGCCGCGCCGCCCCGCGCAACTACTCGCATCCCCAATGGCGCCACGCTGGTTAGCACGCCTCGGAACTCCTGCGCACGTTCCTCTGCCATCGACTCTTCACTCCATGATAGCTACAGATGCTAGTCTTTAGCAATTCCTGAAAATGAGAAGTGTTACCAAACACTAAAAAAATAGTAATTTGTTTGTTTGACGGATGGTGCTGTATATTTATGAACGTTTTCAATCTGCGGTAAAAAGCGAAACCGATCGCAAAATACGAAATCAAGCACACAGTGCGAAATGGTTGTGAATCTACAAAGTTGTTGCTAAATTGCGTTTTATGTTTTCCTTTGTGTTTGCTCTCTAGCTCTAATAACATATCAATGTTTAAAAACATTTTCTTTGAGTGGCCGTATTTGTTAATTTATAATTAAGATTTAACTGAGTAAACAAAGTAAAAAGTAAGTAGTAAGAACAATTTTAAAAACAGATCCTGAAAGCTTGAGCACTCAGGGTCATCTCAAGGAAGCTTCCTCAGTTCGCAAAACGGAGAAGGTTGAGGGAAGAATAGAAAAGCCCTACGCCTACGGCACACGCGTTAGATATCATGCTTTTATATTTGTTAAAGATTATTACATAATAATCTTATTATGCAATAATGCGAAATATTTATGCGAAATAATTATGCGAAATATTACATTAGTTTCCATTATTTACTGATTGTAATGGGAAAATCTAAAATGTTTCAAAATATTTTTTTTTTCTGAAAAATTCCTTTTTTAATCATAATTTTCTCAAAAAATGTTACAAAATTCTAAATATTAATTTTTATAATGCTATAAAATTCCATAGCGTTTTTTTCAAAATGCGATATTTTAAATTTAAAGTGCTAAATTCTACCTTCACTAATGATAATGTATAATTATGAAAAAATAGTAATAAAAACTAACTAATTGAACATATATTATATTGTTAATGATTACTTAGTGTTTTTGCTTCCTGTGCAAAACTAACCAAAATGGAGTAGCGAGTTTTGCTGATCAGTGTGGCGATAAAAGGAGTTTATGAAGAAAAAATAAACGAAAAGAACGAAAACTGTTGCTGAAATGTTTTATTGAAAAAAGTGTTTCAATGGAAAGTATTAGCTGTCAATTTTTATTTATTCATTATACTTAAATATGTTTGTCTTACTTTTGTGGTACGACTTAAGTCTATCAAATACTTTGCAATATTAATTACTTTGCAAACTTCTGTAATTGTTAATAAAAAATTCATTAAAAATGTACGATAATGGACAAAAACCCAACTTCATTTATTACAGACGATCTTAAAACCCTTAAGAGAGCTTTGCCCATGTCTCATTTATATGGCGCATATACTATTTCCAAGACGTACTCCGCAGCGGCACATACATTTCTTTTGTGAATGTGTGTCATTCTCATGTTCATTACACTTTTTTTCATTTTTTTTAAATAAATTGAGAAAAAATATGTCAAAAAATGTTTATTTTAGGGGTGCTTTGCCCCCATGGATCCGCCTTACTGTGGCTGCGAGTACCATATCCAGTACCATATCAGCAAAATTTTAAATAGTTATACCTCCACAATTTTTACAGGACGAACAATTCTACAACACAGAACGTATTTGCCACTCTTCGAGTACTCCAAAACATACAGATAAAGCGATAGAGCCGTTGGGTCTTAACCACAGCAGACATTATTTTCTTAAACAACCAGTTATCTCAAATGATTTTCAATTTCTTTAACTTTCCCGTATAGATACATATATAAAGAGTAACATACGTAGTATAGGGAAAGTTATATAATGCTGCGCGAAAAAAAGGCGGATTTTCGGCAGAAAAAAATTCATTGCCGGGCACTGATAACAAAAAAGTTAAAATTAATCCAGTTGCTAAATTAAGAAAAAATCTTCTGCACATGGTGCAATCAGAATCCCTGTTTTCCGGGTCCTTGATACCGAAAGATTAATTGACGACAAAACGTCCGTCTGTGAACACTACAAGTGTCTAAACCAAGCGTAGAATTTCTTCCAAAGTGAAGAAACCCCTGTCCATGTGGCTCGAGTCGAAGCTTTGATATTTCGAAAAAATTCTTTAAAATTTAGAGGTACTTTACACGAGGCCTTCCGGACATTTCAAAATTTCCTCAAAAGTAGCTCCAACATTTTTCCTTAAATTGCTTTTAAGAATAGAGTAACATAGACTTATAAAAGTGGCATAGGTCCGATTTTCAAGGATTACTATGAATTTTCTAAAATTTCAAAAGTATGATTTTTTCGGTGTCTTTTTTTATACAACTACAAAATTGAAGATAGAGATACTCCCTTCAAATTTAATTTGTTCTTTCATTAAGATCATGTACACTTTTTGAAAATTGTAGTAATTTTCACGCAAATTACTTTAAATTTTGAAAAATATCAAAAACAAGACTTTCTCAAAAACATCTACAAATATTTTTGAGTTGAGAATGAGACCTGCACCATTCTCTTAAACGTTATCTAACAAAATATTTAATCAAAACCGATGGAGACTTTTTTTTTAATTTGAAAAATGGTCCAGAGCATTCATGCAAAGTACCCTCCAAAATTAAAATATCGGTTTTAAATTCCAGGGGCCTTACCATCGACTAGATCGATAGGGGAATATCAATTTTGGAGAAAATTGGTTGATCGGTTTAGTCCCTAGCGTTGTTCACAGACGTTTGCCGTCATTCTATTTTTTGGTAGCAAGGACCCACAAAACATGAATTCTGGCTACACCAAGTGTTAGAGAACTTTTTCTAAACTTATCAACTGGATTTATCCACTTTTTTGTTATCAAGGCCTTGTAATAAGAGTTTTTGTGCCAAAAATTCGCGTTTTTTTCGCGCAACATTACTTAACTTTCTTTCTCCTCCCTAAAATATTTTCGGATAGTCATTAAAACGAATAAAATCGAATCGCAGCATGAACTGAGTTTAGCTTGCGTCATTCTACACAATCCGTAATATGACAATCGTTCATCATATTTTGAATAAAAAACTGAATGTACCGATCACACTCGTTTTGGTTGAGCATTTATTTAGTATCCCTTGGATGAGGAAATAAAATAATTAAGTTGCGGATTTTGATAACCTAAAACATCGCCAAAAGATGATTAATAAAATACTTTTAAAATGTTTTTAAAATGCCCTTAAAGTATAGAAAAATTACTTTTACGTAATTTTTTATCAGAACAAATTGAGATGCGTAATTCCAGCTGTTCCATATGCTACTGAAGTACTCGCATTGTCGAATCGAGAGAATGGGCCATACCCCCCCCCCAAAAAAAAGGCCTAGAGAAAAAAATTAAAATGGTAAAAGTTTAGGAAAAATAAAAATGAGTAACACAAGAAAAACGTGTAAAAACGTCTTAAATATATCGAAAAAATAACCGCGCGTTCTGTCCTTAGCCTTCTAGTTATGAATTGGAATCCTGATACTCGCTGTAATTTAGCCCAGTGGTACCTATGGAAAATGTCTTCGACTGTTCTCCAGAGGTTTATGACAACTCATCTCTTTCTTCTTCCGCTTGGCAAGCGGCGACTTCAACGTGTTGGAGTGAAGCCGATGCAACCGGAAACAGTGTTGACGGAGGAAGGTCTCACTAGATGCCAAGCGAGTGATCGTGTGCCATTGTGATATTTCACGCAATTACAGTGTGCCCGAAACAATAGAATAGGGCATGGATCGCTTACATGTGCCCGGAGACGGTGCACAAGTACTTAAGAAGAGACAGAAAATATCTAAAAATAATAAGTGAAGAGAAAGAAATCTAATTAAAAGAATGAGAAGAAGAGGCTTGAGACATGTGAAATCCTGTCAACTTCCTTCAGTCCTGGAGACCTATGTTAGTATGTAAGTAAATGTTTAATTTGTAAATCGATATCACGCGTTTTTATTTAAATTCTGTTCTTAACTGTATCATAGAATGAAAAAATATAATACCATAATCTTTACCCCTTTTTGCAGCTCTGAAATCAACGATTTTAATAACAAATTATTACCATTTTTAATTTAAAACCATAAAATATTAATTAAGTAATAAATTTAATATTTTAATTTTGTTAAAAGCATTGTATTATAAATAATTTATTTTGTTAATAATTTATATTACATTTTGTTTTATATATACATAGATATGTGTATATACTTATATATACAAACACACAAATACCCCCCCACAAAAAAAAACAGGATCCGTCCCTGATATAACTAGTTTAACTTTTTCATACCGGGATTTTAATGTCACATTCTTGTATATGGTCAATTGTCAAAAACATAAAGTTCTTATTAACTGCTTATAACTGCTTTTACCACTAACATTTTTTGTTCATTCGAATAATTTCTGTGATGTGATCTGGATCATGAAATGGCTGCACATTTTCTCGCGTAGCCAATCTTTTGGTGGTGTCGCCAATTCAATTGCTAGGCCATTCTTCCCTATGAGAAGTAGCCAAAATATGTCATTCAGAATTCACGCAAAATTCTTTTTCGTGAAATCATAAATTAACAAACTTTTTTTCGGTTTTCATATTGCTCACTTGCTCCATCTGAAAAATATATTACTTTTTTGACATGAACTTCAAATTTTAGAAATTCAATCGAATGTTTCTGGAGGAGGTGAACTGGTGATCTGCATTTGTACCATGCTTTCGGCTTTCCGACATTGTTATTACACTTTTGTGCTTGAGATGACTATTGTATTTGATTTATATAACAAAAGGATGAAGTGTGACCTGTTTCTTTATTCCAATGTGCTTCTTGTACTGAATTTGAATGACCCCGATGAAATAGGATGCCACACGCCTAAAGTTTTTTCTCTTATATCCAGTGGCGGCTGGAACCTTTAATTAATGCAAAAATAGAAAATGAATTGAAATATTTCAGTACCGATGTAGATCTATCACGAGCATTTATATCGCACGACTTGAAGAGTTAAGCTTCAAAACTTCACATTTTTTAAATTTTGAACACAATTACCGTTTGTATCCCCTCCAAACACGAACTAGTGCTGAAACATCATGTACTTTATCACACGTACGCAATAGACGCGAAAAGTACTCAAATTTTCGAAAAATTGTACATGACCTTCTTTCAAAATATATATTTAAGGAACAGATTTCAAGAAGGAAAAATCTCTTTCATCAATATTTTAGTTTTAGAAAGACTCTTAAGAGCTTTAGAAAGAAAATTTTGAACTTTTGCAATTTTCGAAAATGACAGTCATTTTAACGAAAATGAGACCAGCATAATCTCTTAAATGCCCTTCACACTATCCAATAATCAAACTTAATAAAAAACCATGGACCCATTTTTTTAACTTTTAAGAATGTCCCAGGCAGGGCCGGATTTAAGTAGTGCGGGGCGGTGATTTTACGAGTATTTAAAAAATAAGTGTTTCAATATGGGGGCCATTTAATGACGTCCTATCACTACTGTATTACATCTATTTATCAAAATGGATCACGGGGGGCGGGGGTTCCTAAAAACGTACCGCCATACTTGTACCTATGACATACATGGAGTGAAAAAAAGAACATCTTTGAACACGCATGGTGGCTACGTAGAGACGCCGCAATGGTATGGCGTGGTCATAATCGGCAATGAAAAACAATTTTCTACCGTTAGGCCAAAAATATAGCTTTGAGCTCGTAATGCAAAAACGATACTTTGAATTCAATATGGCATACAGTTTGAGATGCCATATCGATATGGCATACAACCCCTTCACACTTTTGCTATCTAACGAACAATATATAACACGAATTAGCTGTGGACTATTTCCCAATGGTGTAGTTTTTTTCGTCACATTCAAACAATAGTGCAGCGCAACACCGACTCTACGGCCGCCATACTTGCGTTTCCCTGTTCCTCATAACACTGGCTAACTTCTCAAAATGTTTAGCTTTGTGCTTATTACACCTGGATTTTCTAGCTGGCTCCCGGTCTAACAATGTTAATCCACGACGCGCGTTAAGCGACTCGCGTGCGCAGACATCGCCGCAGTTGGCGTCATCAGCGTTACATGACGCGCGTCACCGCAACTTTCGTGTGATACATGCCCGAAGGACTAACTAAATAAAGTGCGAATGCCAGTGCTATCTTTTCATAGTTCATAATAATTTATTTGTTCATATTAACTCGATATTACAAATCTTGAAGCATCGTCATATATAAGTAAACATTCAATATTCTTTCCCTAACAGTTTTCATCTTTTTATACAATTTTATTCAGTGTAGTATTTATATTTCATATAGTAAATTGAAATGACAATCTAAACCTGTGCCAATTGTAAAAACCCTCACCCTGCCTACGATCAAACATGTCCAATCATCATCAAAGCCAGATCCCTCTGACAAGAACAAATTATGAAAACCCCAAACCTCAACACCCCACCCTCTCAACTTTCTTAT